CCCCCGTTTTTCCAGTGGGAATGGAGGGGTTTTTGTGCTTCTCTTCCCGGTGCTGTGGAAGGAATTGGTTGGAAGGTTGAAACACAAAACCACGCCGTGAAATTCCAGGTTTTACCTGGAATTGTAAAATTCCTGCTCCTGCCAGTGGGAATTTTTCACACTGGTGCCCTTTAAGATTATTTGAATAGTGTAGGAATGAAAACTCAGAAAAGGAGAGGGGGGAAAAAGGGACATAAAACCAGCAGGGTTTGTGTCACCCAGGGCTGTAAAATAGAATTTTTTTTGAAACTGTTTCTGGTGAAAATAATTAAAAATATCACCGTATAAAAATCCAAATGAACGGAATTCCCTCTTGCTTTCGTGCCCAAGGCCCTGGAATTGGGGAAAATGTTGGCTTGATCCTCCCCCTGTTCGTGATTTCATTGTGAGGCCACAAAGAGTTCCAGGGCTCTTGGAACCTCGGGAGCCCCCGGATTTGGGAGGAACCGCCGTTCCCAAAGCTCCAGAAGAGCCGCTCACAACCGAATCCTTCCTCCTTCCCCCTTTCCCAGCTGGATTTCTGGATCAGCCCCTCTGCCCCCGCCCTCCCCGTGGACGTGAGGATCCCTGCTGCCAGCGTCCAGTCGGTCAAAGCCTTCCTGGAATCCCAGGGGATCGAGTATTCCGTCCTGATCGAGGACCTGCAGGTAGGGAATTCCGACGGGCATGCGTGGAGCCTCCGAACCCTCTGGAAGCAAACCAGGATTCCCAGTTTGGCCTCGTTCCCGGTGTGGGCTCTCCCACGCCCTGTTTTCCAGGAGGTTCTCCTGCTACTTTTGGGTTGATTCCTCCAAGACAATCCCGGGATTGCTGCAGGTGCTCCTGGAAAAACTGCCTCGGGTGGTTTTTGAACTCCGGGGGTTCAAATCTGGATTCCTCTGAGACAACCCCAGGGGAATTCCTGTGGTGTTTTGGCCATGGATATTTGGGAATCACACCTGAAGTTACTCAGGATTCAGCAAAACACGTCAGGAGTAGTCAAGGATCGAAGTTGCCCACTGGGGCACCAATCCAGCATCTTCCCGTGAGGAATGATCCCAAAATGGCACCGGAACCAACAAGTCCAGAGGAGGGCACGGAGCTGCTGCCAGGGCTGGATTCCCTCTGCTCTGGAGCCAGGCTGGGAGAGCTGGGGGGGTTCCCCTGGAGAAGAGAAGGCTCCAGGGAGAGCTGAGAGCCCCTGGCAGGGCCT